GGCTGATTTATTTTTGGAGTCTGGCTGTGCACTCGGAAGGCAACAGAGAGACACATGGCACCTGCTCTGAAGTCACAAGTTATTTTAATCGCAACTGGAAAGGGTGGTAGTGATTGCCCTTGGTAGTGACTTTATTCTTGATATTTGGCAACAGACAAGAAAATGGCACTATGTTTAGGCCATTACAAGAATATGGCAGGCACCGAATGCTGATTAAATGTGCTATAGTGAAAAATAAAAATCAGGCCTGAATTGTGGTCTGAAAGAAAGAAATACATAATTCCCTGTGTTGCATGCTGACTAGTCTAGTTACAAATGTGTGATATTTATAATTCCTAGCCAGAGAATCTTATTGCAAAAGGGACCATAGGCGGCACACATCAGTTGCAAATTCAAAATATATATGAAATCCACAGTACAAACATGAATAACTATTCCAAAGCAGAAAGAAGCCATCTAGAGAAAAATACATGCAAAGCTTCTACCTCGTGTCTTGTGTTTTAACTATTTTTGCAATACAGAGCATTATATCACACAAAGATTGCTTTAATCTAATTCTGCTTTTGACTTTCCCCCTCTTAAAATGTCAACTCCGTTTGTCATTTTTTTATGGAAGTACCAGTGATACTGTTAATGCTCCGGTTTTCCTCCAGGCTCCCATGCAAAGTATTCAAAGCACATGGAATGAAACAAGCAGCACCCAGTTTTTCTTTTAAAAACAACCACTGTCATTGACAAACCATGCTACTGAATGGCCATAGCAAGGCCACTTTCACACTTACCTGAGAAAGAAGGGGAAGAAGAAAAGGGGCAAGAGGAGGGCTTTAATGACAGCGAGAGAGGCAGAGAGAGCAGCTACAGGACACTTGTCCTCTGTCCCTGCCACAGGGAAAGGGAGGAACTCCTTGACCAGGGAGGGGGGGGAGGAGTGGATGACACATCATGCAAGATTACTCTGGAATGTGGATGCCGGTGTCCCAGCATCAGATGCAAAATGGAAAGCAAACGGGACTCTTGAGCTTTTCATAGTGGTGTGCAATGGAGGGAGACTTTCAGCAGGTCCCACTTACTGTGCAGATAGGAAAAAAGCTGCACTCTGAAATTCCCTCTTTAATACAGCTATCGAGGAGCCCATGTGTTTGCTAGCATCTGGCTGGCCTACTTTGTTAGTGTCTGGTTTGGCATCTGGCTGGCCTACTGAAAAGCGAGGCAATGGAAAGCAGCTTGCAAGTTAGGGGGCAGTTTTTCAGCAGCCTCCTATCTTGGGGCACGGAACAAAGCATCACAGGGACATTTTATGATGAAAATTCAATTCTAGTGAAGTAGAAAGGGGGTGTTTTACTGTTCTCCTGCTGGCCATTTTCCTGTTCTCAATGGTCTCCCCTTCATGGCGTTCCAGATGTGTGTAACCTTGCATATACACATCTGGAACTCCTTGGAACAAACAGCAGCTAAAGGGGTGATTGGGAGTGGCCACCAGGGACACAGTTAAGCCCCTCTCCTGACATTTACTTGAGAAAGAAGGTGCTGTTTGACAAACTCCTTGTGAGGAGAGATTTATGGAATATATACTATACTACATATACTACTGTGAGTTGTGGTGATGGCCACAGAGGCATTTACAAAGGCATTGGGCAAATTCAGGGAGGTTGTGAGCATCACTGACTGTCTGCCCTGAGGTTCAAATGGAGCCTCTGGGTTCAAAGGCATTCTGCTTCTTGTTGTCAGGTGCTAGGGAGCTGTCAGCAGGTGAGGGTTTACCTGTGGCATCCTTCCGGCCACTGTTGGAAACAGGATGCTGGACAAGATGAACCACTGGTCTGATTCAGCAGGGCTCTCCTCATGAAAGCAAATGAGAATATGGGCCAGAGTGAGGGGCAGCAGAAATACCCTTTTTGCCCCTACGTTCTACATGTTCTGGCCGTACATTTTCATTTGCCCTCCTCCACGCTTTATGGTATGTGATCGGCTTGTTTGGCTTCACTAATCAGGACTGCCTTTCTCCAGTGAATAATGAATCCCTGACATAAATTGCAATGTAGTTATGAGCTCAGTGTATAATTTAACTGATCACTATGGCTGAAGACAGGAAGGCTCTGCGTGTCATAATGGTTAGATGTTTTATATATATTTCCCTGGAATACATTTGCACCATGTCACTAACTTGAGCCATCTGGCTTGTAAATATTTTTTATTAGGAACACAGAAAAAGCATATTTACACAACAAATTATTATATACTATACTACATATACTACTATATTCTGGGCCATCTGTACACATTTCTCATATTCAGTCTAGTATTTACTTTTCTACCAGTTCTTACAGAAAAGTCTTGCTCCAAAAAACAATGAAAGGCAGCCGTCATTGTGCAAAAGTACTCTGAACGTGATTTTTTTGGATGGGTGTTGTTTAAGAAATTTAGAAATTTAATCCATCATGAACCACAGTTTTCAACACAATGCTTCCAATTGTGATAATGTGCATTGCTTCTAGTTTTGGGCCAGTATCATTCTGACCCACATCAACAGATGCATTACCAAATACCACTGAGGTTTATGAAGTTGTTCTGCACAATGGTGGTCTTGATACAACTGTGCCTGTGATCTCTTTTATTCCTCTCTGTACTCCTTTCTAGAATTTCTAAATGATGTAACACCAACATCATCTATGGAAATAGGAACCCTATCATTTCCTACATTTTCAACACATATCTGAACTATTTAACAGCATTTTTTATATTTTAAAGATTTTGATATTTTGATATTTAAAAATTACTTTTAGCAGTTCTATCTAATTTCCACATTTTTAATATTTGTGAAATATATGCAAATACATTCTTCTATACCTTCTTAGACAATTTTTTATATACAAATCCCAGTTTGTTACTGTTTAATCCCCCCACCCGCTGCATTAGATTGGCTGCAGTCACACGGAACATTAGCCACGCTACAGAGACGGAAGATAGGTGGATTTTCCGGGTGCGATCACACCACCACATCTGGGAAGCGTAGAGCTCCCGTGCCAAACCCGAGGCTTCCCGTCGAAGATGCGGGGTAAAAAACTAGTACCTTCGAGGTACTAGTTTCCGGAAACCACGGGGCAAGGGCGGGCGCCTGATCACGTTTCTGGTGGAATCCCGTAGCATCCGGCGCCCGCCCATGTCCCGTCGTGAACAGGTTTTTTTTCAAGTCTCCACAGGATGTGCACAAGCGCCCAATGGCGCATGCGCACAAAAAGGCCCCCTCCCACTGCAGCCAGGCTTGCCGCCTCTGGAGGGTCGCTATGGCCACTGTCACGCAGGTGGTTAGAGCGGCTGTGATGAGGGGGCCCACCTCCCCCTCCATTGGCTATGCCTCAGAGCTCTGTTGGGGTCCAGAAGCGTCTGTCGCCCTCTCCGGCAAGCCCACCACATGTGATCGGCACCTCCCCCCTAAACACGGGACCTCGACGGGATGTCTGATCGCGCAACCGCGTGTTATTTTGCTCCGGGGCAAACAGCCACGCTGCCCCCCCCACATTTTCCTGCCCGTGTGACCGGGGCCATTATATAGTTTAGATAACAAATCATTTTGTTCTGAGGGATAGTATAGGCATTTTCCCATGGCCATAAACAGCCTGTACACATCTTGTACTCTACCTACTGTGCTAATATAATCCATGTTCTAGAGATATTGAAATTGTCTAAGTGCTGCTGAGTCAACACTATGTTGAACCCAGATCCATGATTTGATTCTATCTTCTTGTAAGAACTCAATAAATCTTCCCAACCCATGATCTGAAACCTCCCAGAATGTTAACTGGGGAGAGATCTTTGCTGTATATCACCAGCATGAATAAAGAGGAATGACCTACAAGCTTGTTCTTTACCCCAGATCCAGTTTAACATCATTAACGTTTTATTACAGCCACCTTTCCTCCTATACTGTTTCGAATACCATTTCCAGGGACTTAGTGGGACACTAATATAATTCCGTGTCCCAAGACACATTACTGTTTTCTTTCCTGAACCACTCCAGGAGCTTTAACCTGGAGGCGGTATAATAATTAAATATAATAATTAATCCTACTTTATCATTGGAACCTTGAAAAAATCTCTCTTCATCCTAATCCTTTTATGTCCCAAGATATAATTGCTGAACATTTTTTGAATCGATTGCCAGCCGTTGGTTAGATATCAAAATTGGGATAGCAGCCAGAGAACAGGAACAGATACTTTAGGAGTATCTTCACATTTAAAGCAGCAATCTAGCCTAGTCATGATAAATTCAGTTTTGTACAGCATTTCAGATCTTCTTCAACTTTAAGATTCAGTTGATCTAAATTATATCTTAATAAATCATCTATGTTTTCACTTATACTTAATCTAAGGTATTTAATGCACTTATTAACTGTTAGATCCTGAGATATTTCTGCCATAACCTGTTGTCCCTATCCTAATCCTTTTATGTCCCAAGATATATTTGCTGAACATTCTTTGAATCGATTGCCACCTGTTGGTTAGACATCAACATTGGGATAGCACCCAGAGAACAGGAACAGATACCTTAGGAATATCTTCATATTTAAAGCAGCAATCTAGCCTAGTCATGATAAATTCAGTTTTGTACAGCATTTCAGATCTTCTTCAACTTTAATATTCAGTTGATCTGAATTATATCTTAATAAATCATCTATGTTTTCACTTATACTTAATCTAAGGTATTTAATGCACTTATTAACTGTTAGATCCTGAGATATTTCTGCCATAACCTGTTGTCCCTTATAAAAACCTGTAAACATTGATGTTAATCTATTGAATTTAATATCCTGAGACCAATCCATAATAATATATTTTATTCATTAAATATTTCAATAATTTTTGCAGTTCTTGCACTGAAAATAAGATGTCATCTTATAAATCAGAACTTCAATTTCAGTGTTTCCACCTTTTATTCCTTTAATGGTTACATTTAAATTTTTTTTTCCTGCGATACATTTAGACTGTGTTACTTACTTGAGTCATCTGGAGTTGTTTCTACTGTTTATTTATTAACATATTTATACTCTTGACTTTCTCTCCTGTAGGGATGCAAACCAGCTTACAATATCATTCTCCTTTCTTCCATTTTATCTTACAACAACCCTGTACAGTGGGTTAGGCTGAGAGAGAATGGCTGGCTCAAGGCCGCCCGATGAGGTTCTCTGGCAGAGTAGGGATTCATACCTGGCTCTTCAAGATCCTAGTTTGACCCTCTTAACCATTGCACCATGTTGGCTGTGAAACTATTTCTTGAATTATCTAGAATAAGATAATTTGGCTCTTTGTTAGTTTTCTGTTTGTCCCAAACAAATCTGTATGTTGGGAAGTAAATTCATGTAAGCAGGCCTAGGTCTGCTTTCTCTCTTTGTGTAACAGTTTTGCGTTGTAACAGACTTTATACAGGCAGCACGGTACTCAACAACAATAATATCATAGCCAATTTCTTTTTAAATTATGCGAAATATTATTTTTATTAGGGGGAACACATATTTACAAACATTTTATTAGGTATGCTATATAATGAGGTGATTTTAGACTTCTGGGAGAGTGAAGAACAGGGTACCTTTTGGTGAAGATACACATCCCATTTTTAGAGTAGTGAGGCTAAACTAGAAATACCTGCAATGCATTCATTCTAAGTATAACTTTCATGTGTAACTCTGGATCCTAGTTTGACCCTATTAACCATTGCACCATGTTGGCTGTGAAACTATTTCTTGAATTATCTAGAATAAGATAATTTGGCTCTTTGTTAGTTTTCTGTTTGTCACAAACAAATCTGTAAGTTGGGAAGTAAATTCATAAAAGCAGGCCTAGGCCTGCTTTCTCTCTTTGTGTAAGAATTTTGCCATTATAACAGACTTTATACAGGCCGCACAGTACTCAACAG